CCACTGAGCGGTGGTAAACTTCCACCAAACGAACAGCCCCTAAGGCATAGTCCATCGTTGGTCCCCTGCGCGTTTGGAAAGCTGCTAATTTTTGCGTAGGGTTAAATAAATATATTTGTAGGGCTAGGCCAGGCCAATTCCATCTCCAATCAGGCCAGTCTGCTGGTCTGCCACAAAGGTGCCCTGGATACGGATGAGTTTCAATTCCATTTTCCTCCGTCAGAATTATTAATTAATGATTAATTTCATACAGTCGATGCGAATGTGGGGAGTGTAGAGGCATGTTTGAAATCTTTTCAATTGATCCACCAATCTCAAATTATCAAATTCATCCAAGACAAATTTAACGTTTGCTTGAAAAACCAGTTTATTTGCCAATTTGAACGAGTAAATGAAGAAAATACAGCTGATCATTTCAAAAATGTGTACATTTGGACTGTTCTCGGCATGTCCGTGTTACCACCGCCCGTAATGTTGTTAATTGTTTGCTCCCGAGGTCATAAAGGTCTTCTCTCTCAGCTACCTAAAGCTGAAAACAAGCGCTGGTACTCCTGAGAGGGCAACCAGTCCTTTTTTTTACTGGCAAGCAATTTCCTTAGCAGTGACTTGTGAGCTAGACCTGGTTTGTTATTGGCTCCTGCGTGCTTTTATTAAAATGCCATAAATATACCATTCTTATGTATGAGTTTGCATGAATTCGATACACATCACAGATGTACACCTTTATCCTGAACAATGGCCCCGAAATAGCTTATATGGTACCCCCCGGCTTTTCCATGGCCGGGCAAGACATCCCCCCACCTTTCCCCACCCCCGAATTCCAACACAGATTTACGCCACTGGTAAGAGGGCAAGTCAAGGGAGCAAGGGATATGAAATGATTGTCAACTTTGCTAACCTACTGGAAGCTCAGCACGTTTTGCTTGTCTCTATATTAACCAAAGGAAACCCTGATGTTTCTTTGACCACCCTCAGATTGCCACACATTGTAAAACCAACGCACATAAGAAAGGCGTCTTTGCGTCCGTTGTAAAAATGTAACCGTTTGAAATGAAACACCTTTTATATTAACACTCAAAAGTATTTGTTTGTTTCAAACATAAAAACCAAACCGTGCTTAGCTAACACCACAACACGTTCAAAAACTTTTACCAAGAGCGTTTAAAACGTCTTTAAAACAGTAATACTTGTTTTTACAGTGTTGTCCAGAAACCCGTTGGGATTTCTTTCCACGTCGTCGCTCTCTGCTCTGCCTTGGTCGTTTGTTATCGCTTCGCCCTTTAGCATTATGTAGAAAACTGCCACCTCTTTAGGGCGAGTAACTCGACATTTATCTAATAATGCGTTGCTTCCACCCTGTCATGTGCTGACCACATTTTAGTTCGATCAGTACAGTGATTCCGAACATACTGCTGGTCTTATGAAGCTGTTGATACTACAGCGATGCCCTTGTGCTGTGTTCACTCTTTCCGACCACAACCCATAGTCCTGCATGCCGCGTCAGTAATTAATTTCTCCACCTTTAAGTGTTACACTACTTGCCTAAGACACCACACTTCTCCTGTTTTCACAACCAAACGAAGCAATGAAAGCGATTCAAAAAAAAATAAACCAGCTAGTTTGACAGTCATCCAAGACCTTTTGTCCCGCTCTGATCGATAAATTGTTGACCTTGAATGAATAAATAGTAGTAATGCTATCGCCTGCCTGATACCAAGGGGAACGCAAAAATTTACGAATAATGTGGAACAACCGCCTTTGAAGTTGACAAAAACAATGGGAAACCAGAAATACGAGGTTGAACACTTCAATACATAACATGATTTATGATTGTCCGAATTTACTGAGACTCTCTCAAACGAATGTTTGATTCTTTGAATCTTTGAAAGGCAGGGAAAAGAGTAATGATTTCCAGCGATTGTATAAAAATACAAATTGCTCTGGTGAAGTGCTTTGGTTTAATTGTATTAAAATCATTAAAGATTTTTGTCTCTGTGCATGCCTAGTTTCCACCGGTTTCTACTACCGGTTTGCATTGTACAAACCAAACGAATCTGTACACATTTCTCACCAAAACTAATTATCCAACCACTCAATCAGCAATGGGACGATGCTTCTTCTTTCGACCTGTTTGTTTCCACTTCTCGTCTACTTGTTAATTTTTTTTCTACTCTCCGCCCATCAGATTTCTGAATATAGGTTCCTATACAGTTTCTTCTGTGTGGGTACTTCGTTAAGGTGCACTCTCAATTCCCAGTACCAGCAAGTTCCCAACGATTTTGATTACAACCGTTTCTGGATGTGTGCTTTCGGAAGGGTTCGTAAAATGTCATCTACAAATATGGACAATATGTACACTGCACTTCTGGAACTTCAATCGCGAACATCCATCCCTGGGATCTCGGGGCATCATTAACGAATGGTAACTATGAAGATTGATTAATAAAGTTATTGAAGTCAGGAGTTGTTCTTTTCTAGCCAGTTTTTGCAGGCATGGTATAACGAATGCGTTAATTATTTCCCTGCCCCAATTTTTATAGTGTCGTCTATCTGTCTTTTCTAGTGTTGTCCAAGGCCGTGCAATGCAGACCGCATCGGCCTCGTAGTCCAAAAAATCCTGTAACATCAATGAAAAAAACAAGTAAAACTTTTGTTTGTTTTAGACCTGCAATTGAAACCAAAAGTGCACCTACAAAATCTAACAGAGTGTCGATGACAAAATTATGCGGGTAAGACTTCTACGGGCCTTAGTTTTACTGTAACAAAAGTCACAAGGTTTCTAAATTTTGTGAGGTATATAAAGTCACTCAACAACGATCTTTTTTATTCACAGTGATTTTCTCTTTCGAGTACACTTGACCATTTGTTTCCATTTCCATACGGAGACTTGACTTCACAGATTTTGAGAATGACTACCATGTGGAAGCTGGTGGCTCTTGCAGCTGCGTTTGTGACGGTTTCATCTTCGGCCATAATGGTGAGCACTGACTAACAAGGCGTATTAAACCACTGCAACATCTTAAAATGGGTGTTGGTGCAGTGCTTATTTGTTGTTTTTAACCATTGGTCCATAACTTCATAACTGCTGTTAGTAATAATTTTCATCGGTAGTCAATCATCTCTGTTTCCTCCGACAATTTGGAAGATATGTACATGAATGCCCTCAATCCGGATATGCAACTTTGCCATTCCTCATTTGTTTTAAAAAGGGTTCAACCCATTTCGCTAAATATGCAGGCGATTTCGCGCCAAAGTGTGTTTTAAGGTATGCCAGGTCAAGCATAAGTATTCATATGAATATTACCAAAAGATATATTCTTCAAAAATGTTTGAGTAAATGGATATATGTTTGAATGTTCATGGTGATTTAGGTAAACCGATATGTGTAGTGTTATTGGTGAGTTGAGCGCTTGAAATTGAAGAGCTTAGTATACCATACTTAGAGGCCTTGGAAGACGGATCATTGACCGAAATAAAGAGAGAGAGACACAGAAATGCATACAGAACATCAGAGATGCAAGACAGTAGCTAGATTTATTTGCAACAAAAATGTGACAACTTATGTTTTCTACAATCCAACAAGATTACTTTGGTAGGTATTTAGTAGATTTTCATTACACTCTCATTAACCCTACACTACCACATCAGCCTTAATTCGTGAGTAGGCCTATGATAACTGTTTACTCTCGTCCTGCTGGCATTCGTTATCGAATTCGACGAGTGTTACTGCGAAAATCATCACCAGGTTATGCGTTGTTTTCAAAATGTGCGCAAAATTCAATCTTTATTTTGCAAATTCAAAAAACATTTTCTGAAAATGTCTTTTACAGTTTTATTGGCCTAGTCTGTTTCATTTTAATGAATGCTTGCTCTGTCAGCTACAAGTTTTGGCATGAGAGCGGGGTCAGAAGATTCACTAGCCCGACTACCAACAGTTTGGAAAACTTGTTAGTGCGTTAAATTGTGCAGACAAGTGCGACCAAAAGGTATTAAGAAATTTAAATGTCCCCTGACAACAAAGTATTCCCCCTCCCCGGTACTCCGGGATACATTTATTTCATGTTGGCGACGAAAGACGTCCCAAATATATAAATTTGCCTACTACAAAGAAATTTGTTACAACAATCAATGAAAACTAGCGTATTATCAAGTTTGGTAATTGTACACAGTTTGATTTATTGCCAACGCTAAGGGGAAAAAGAAGCCGTGTGCTTTTGGGTTTTCCCATTACAACAACAGAAATTCAGATCAGACAAGAAACCTAAGATAGGAGATAGGGACAATACAAGATGATACACTGCAAGGACAGGCAACAGTAAGACTGATATGCTATCTGTTGGAGCCAGACCATTTAGAAGCATTCAAGTAGACTGACATGACTACATGAACTAGGGTTTATCATACAAACGATGTAGGTTTTGGTTTCTAGGTAAATGCATTAGGGTTGAGGGTCTTATAAGATCATTAAGGTTGGTATAAAAGGATACAAGTCATGGGATATGATTGTTTTCTGAAAAATGAATCGGTTATAATTTACACTTTAGTCATCCGAGGTAACTTCTAGCTGCATAGGAATGTAACAAGGAGACAATTATAACACAGTCATTGAAATCACGCAGTAAAAGACCACGTTTGTATATACACACAAATTTACCCAAGTTCGAATTTTAAAAAGTTAGTCTATATTTCGTATTCTTTACTCCAAGGTTAAGTTTACAGCCATCTTAGAGGGAATTCTGGGAACCAAAATGCATTCAATAGCACTCAAAACATTTTTAAAAGACCTCAAATGTTGCATTGATGTAAGGATCTGCAGCAGTGAAACACATTCCAAACTGTATGTACGTAAGATTGCTTTTCAGTGGTTGGTATCAGTACCATGAAAACGTTTCAGATTTCCATTGATGGGAAAGTCACCACCTTACAATATCTCATCCCATCCTCATTCTCCCCGTTACCATCAAAAATTTATTCTATAACCATATGCGCTTTTCGTACAGGAATCCGATCTCGAAGTTCTGCCATCCAAGGAGGAGCAGCTGATTCAACTGCTCAGTGAGGATTTGGCTGAAATGACTCCACAAGAAATCGCCAAGTTTCTCCTTGTCGACTTTAATTCCGGTGAAGTTATTTTTACCTAGTTGCTTTTTAACTCGTAAATGATCTGAGAGTCTCCCAGCTACAAAAGCTGTTTCTGTTAAGCCCCAATTAAGCACAGTTCCACCTACGCTCTCTTGTGGCCCAGTACCCGCACTTTGAACTTTGCAAACGAAGCTTAATTTTATTGCTGTCTCTATCAACAACAGTTGGCTGTAAACAATCTTTTAGCTGAACACGCCTCTTTCACGACGATCCATGTCAAAGGATGTACTTGTAACGGTTTGTTGTACACTCTACCCAATAATACATTTTACAAAGACTTGCTGACCACTAATATAAACTTTCATTTTTTGAATCAGTCTTAGTGACGAGGAGTTCTAATTTCCAAAGGTTCAATACAAAAAGGTCAAGCGCGCAGGTTTAGAAGCAAAAAGTGAATAACCTGGGAAAGGGGTTGAACTTGTCCATTTTGATACAGAAGACCTAAATTTTTTTCGTGTTTTCCCTGAAATGATTAAAGACATAATTTACCCGGTAGTTTCTACAGTTAACCTACACTTGTGGCGTAATTCTTTCATTAATGCTGGGTAGTCTATCGCCCTTTTTTGTGTGCATGACCTGGCTCTGCAGGTGAATTGCATGGAGCTCCAACAGACGTACATTACGAACTTCCAGGCATATTTTTATCTTTAAGTTCCCATTCCCAAATTACATATTTGACCGCAGTCCAACTCTCACACATATTCACCATTTTATGATTTCCAGTTAGTGTTTCAGAAGTCACGGATAAAGGACTTTCAGGTCAATGCACGCTATCTAAACAAGATCTCTCAGCTGAGTGCTGCGCCACATTGTCTTTCAAGATCTTCTGGACACGCCACACTCTCACCGGTAATGATTGTTTTGAATATTCTACCCAGTTTAGGGAGGTAACTTATTGGTATAAAGATCCCAGGAATGTGGAACCAAAGGTTTCAAGACATAAGGTTTGAAAACCTTTTTTTCCTTGCTAAGCAAACCGTCTTAGATGTAGAAATCCAGTTTGCGTGTATGTGGACATCTTGGTGCACATTCCTCCTTTTGACTTAGTTTGTATACACCAAAGACGGTCAGCCGGCCCCCAGTTCGTACAATCTGTTTTAGTGTCAATTGCGTCATATTGACCAGAGTTTGTTTTTAGTAATATTTTATTTTGATTGCTCAAAAGGTTGATGTGCACTATTCGTTATAGTTTTGAACTGCTTTGGCCATGGATACCAAAAATAAAATCCATGCAACTTAATTATTGGTCTTAGAAGAAACGTCATGGATGCCAAATCAGCTTACTCAAAAAACTGGTATTATTTTTGGCTGTTTGCTTCATTTTTGTGTTATATATATATATATCGTTACAGTTGGTATCTTTATTAAATAAAAATAAGTTGACCTATGCAGTAGTACGAGCTTACTGCCTAGCAGCTATAGCCAAAGTTCTCTTGTATATACTGTACCATTCTCAATAAAGGTTCTTCCCCGAGGGGTTTCTCATGTATTGTTTTGCGCTTCACGGGGTGAAGAGGTTTCCTTTTTTTATTTTCTATTTCATTCAAGGTTGCGCTTCCGTCAAGGTTCTTACAAAAGCATTTGGCCTTCACATCAAAATAACCGCCTTGGGTCACACAATTTACGACAAAGAGATATCAGGTAAGACTTGGATAAAGCTTGGATTGTTAGATGACTTGTGCTGGATTTGTTTTCATGAAAAAAAAATTACGATTAAATGTCAGGGACGTCATTGCTATAGCTCTTCCTATCAACACACACAAAATTCAGGGGGGGCTTATCAACGTAGAGTTATCAAATTGACACTATATCGTCAAGGTTGAGTAACAGGATTGTTCGAAGTTGCACTTTTAGCTTGGGAAGTGAAAGTTGTCATTCTTACTCCAAAGCAATGAAAGCCAAAAATATACACATCCCCATTTTTCCCGGGTGGCATTCATACCAGTGCTGGAAAGAATACCAGCCCTTCAAAAATAGAGAGGCACATATAAACCACCAGAACCCGACTTTTGACAAGCATCAAACAATATTTATGTCAAAACTAATGTACTTTGTCAAACAAAGCAAGACTGCTCCAGTTTTTAAGACAAAAGTGTTTAGCGGGCTAACTGATTTTTTAGTAAACTAGATTAATTTGTCTTCAAATTGCAGCCCGTGAACCACCGGCGATTTGCGTAGGCGTCCCTAAAATAAAACTGGCTAAAGTTTGCCTGGACCTCCGTAACGTCCAATGGAGCAACGGCTTTCATGCATGTGTTGCATTTGAAGTCCATCTCCTTTTCAAGACTCTGTTGGATGTTCAACTTGGATGCATTGACGTCTAAAAAGGTTGACCTAACTATCCAGCTGTTAAAGAAAACTCTCCGATCGTAATTATTCCAGCAGAATTAGATTAGACTAACCTGCATGCTCTGCTTCTTAATGCTATTAGAGTATAACTGACACAAAGCGCGTGCGCTATATAAGATTTTTCCCGATACATCGCACAAACCTAAATCTTTTTAGAGAAAACTTTTGATTCAGACTAGTGTGTAGAGGAATTTTTTGTTACTTTTTAAAGTTGATGAATTTCAGCGCAATAAACAACATCTGGAGCAACCGTACACATTGATGACAATTTAAATTTCAGCAAGCCTTTGCTTGTATCAAAGAAATTACGTATAGATTCAGTAAATAAACTTTCCTGTTCAAAACAGTGCCCTCCATTATGTATGCATTGGCCAAGTCATAAATATTTCACTACTGACTAATTTTTTTTCCAAGTGCACAGAGGGAAAAGTGAACATTCTCTGCAGTCACATATCAAAGGAGGAAATTCACAGATTTCTAATAGGGGAACACGGGGTGCAGGCATCCACTGTGGTCACCTGCCACTGACTCAAGCGGGTTAGACATTTTTGATCGATGTTTAACAGCATTTATTATTTAGCGTAGTAAATCTGACCATGATTGGTTGACAGATTACCATTATTATTAGTATATCTTTGAAGAAGACGGTGAGTCATAGTTTTTCAAGCAACTGGTTGGCAGATGTCTCAGCTGCGAAGAGCAGTCTCCAAATCTCTCCTTGCAGTTAAGATTTTAATTTCTTTGCACTTGTTTAATTTTGATCTTTGCACTTTGTCCGTATCCACATTGCTACAATTGCGTCAAAACGTGAACATGATAGGCATTTTAGATTCTATCCGTGTATGATCATCACATTTTCTTGTTTTGTTGTGGGAATTGAACACAATTAGCCTGAAGTTAGTACCCACAGAACAAAGTATAACGTTGTTAACAGCAAGATAGCAAGATATTGTCAGGTGCAAATCCCCCCAAAATTGGATCTTTTGGGGAGTATATGAATAATATAATAGATACAACGAGCTGCAAACAAGATGTGAACTGTCTTTTGTTCAATATGTTGTTCCCATTTTGAATTCATCCACAATCGCTTCGTAGACTTTGCAGCAACACGTCATTGCTATTTACTTTTTGAGGGTACAGGGGAAAGAGGTGTAGTGAAGGCTTAGATGACTATACCTCAAACTGAACATGGTCGAAACGCGAAGTCCCGTCACTGCCGAATCAGCACTGCACTACCAGATGCCTGTTCAGTATGGCCAGAAGAGACAGTCTGGTTGGTGTTTTTATTAGATGAACGTAGAGGGTGCTGCTTGTCGAGCGCTGAAAACATGAACACGTATGTGCCCGGCACATTACATGTGAACGCACCAGTCGTCAAATCGAACTTTGTACATGTTTCAGCCTTCTAAAATGGCAAACGGGTGTTCTGTCTGGTAGAGATGACCAATATGCTCATCTGCGTCACCGTGAATGCTCCCAAATTGTCAGTGTCATCTGGAGTCTCCCTTGGCTCGCCCTTTTGACCTTTGATCCCTACTTCCCAGGCGGTACCAACTGAACCAGGTGGTTGTCTGGGACCAGTCTCACCGGGCAGACCCATTCAAACTCCCAGGTTTAGCCAAGTTTCACTACTCACCAATTGCACCAATATGACCAATCAACCCTTGAATTCGGCATCACCCCATAACCCAGTAGGGCCATAGGGTCAGGGGATCCCCAGCAGCCTTGGTTTTCCAGGCGTCGCAGCAGGTCCCTGACATCACATTGGACACATCTGAGACCCTAATCCATCGGCGCCCTAGGGAAATTGGTCCCGTAATGGCCGCTTTGAGCTTGATAGAAATACTCAGAAAGATAGCAACTGTGATTGGAAAACTGGATTTCATTTCAAAATAAATAATTTAGCCCCCAAAAGTGGAGAAAAACAAAGGAGATGCTGAATTTTTCTGCAGATTTTACAAAAACTCTCAACAATAAGCTCGTATGGAACAACGGAAACAAATTTGCAGATCAGTTTTAATAGATTAGTAATAAGCAGGATATAGCTTTTTTTAACGACGCTATAGGAAACAATATCTTGGTTTTTATCAAAAAGTGTTTTTTTTTTCATGTTGGCATTTTTTTCATAATGGATTTAAAAACTCGTTTTAAATTTGCACGAAGATACTCAAGGTACATCTATCATAAAATACACGTGTACTCAAAATTTACGTGTTTCTCTCTCATATTAGCTACGAGTTCATAAGACCATCAGTTTAATAGACTGACTTTATTTGGATTTGAATCAATGAAACTGCAGATCTAGGCTGTTTCAGAGACAAAATCAGGATACATTCAATTCTTACCTTAAGTAAAACATGCAATCATTAAGATTTGTGTGGCTTTAACACCAAGCTGATGGCAAGCTTTGTGATGTCAAGTTGTAATTATTCAACCATGAGTTAATAACCTGCGTGCTTTACCCACAATAAAAGAAATATAAATTGAGTTAAATGATTTATAAAATTATTTTATACATGGTGCAGGTGAGCTGTGTTCACACAGCCCCTTTCTCTAAGGTCACAAAGTTGAGTTCCAATTTCGAGGCAGTGTAAAGACAGATGTGTGTCATCTCCCGAATTGAAATTCACACAAGATAAGTCATAACTATGAAAACTTGCAACAAATTGGATCATTTTTAAGTAACCCTCGCGTCATTTAGTTGTGACATTTCTCCACACAAATTTCTAGTAGGGTGATGTCGCCACATGCTTTGTCAGTCATTTTTTTCTGATTATGACAGCATCACCGACAATAAATGAAGATTAACACCCTCAGGACCTCATCAAAAGTCAAAAAGATCAGCACGCCCTTGGTCATGTTAATGAGCAACATTATCACATATTAAGTGCATTTCCACTAATGTGATAGGCCGCTGATTACTGTCCAACAACCTTTGGACATCTTTTGTCTTGCTTGATGTCACAAAGGCAAACGCAAAAGCATCAATGTCCCACTCCTCTTCTGCAAATGGATTACAATAGGAATGGGTTTCAAGCAAATCAAAGAAGCATCTTACAAGTAAAAAGAATGTTCCGTCCGCTGTTTTGTTTGGGAAGATCCATGGACTTGGGCTTAATGTAGCGTTATATGTCCCATTTCCTCTCTCTTGGTAGGGAAGAGTTGAGACATGTACACGTGTAGTGAATTCCTTCATCTTGTTTCTTTGGCCCAAACAGACTCGGAAGAATATTTATAGCCTTGATTTATCGGTCACTAGCAAATATCTCGGCATCCTTACAAGCTAGATCCTGGAGTGACAAAAGCCCATTGCCTGAAATAACAAAATAATTCGAGTTCCCAATGAGCAAACTGTATCTATACACACTGTACATTTACAGACTATAGCATACATGTGTATCGTAGTTTACATATTGGAAAGCAATGTCCTTACATATCAATATCACAAACAAAATCAAGAAGTACTCAGTGGGGGCTTCCTTGTAGACTGTACTACAAATTCGCCATGGGGCTATGCCTACAAAGACGGAAAAATGGTTGCTTCTGGTATCAAAATATACCCATGCTCTCCGGTTTCCGTCTAAAACTGGAACTTCATGGCCAGCCCAAAGTCTTCGACCGTCTCTTATACTGTCTTGTTTGTATTCATACGCAAAGAGACGCTTACCAAGTAAATTATAATACAAGTAACAGCTTCAATTAACACGCCACCAAAATATCACATAATACAAGAGGTTATTTTTGCACATGACAATAATTTTGATGCATTCAGTCAGTCCTCTTACATAAGCTTTGGACTCTTTTCCTTGTGGATGTCTACCAAGTACAACCACTCCTTGCGCGGGGGAAGCATAAAGGTCACCAAGTAACAATTACTTGGCATACAAACATGCAAATAACCCAGATACAATGTAGATCAGCTAAATAATATGCATATTCATGAGATAGAATTAAAAGAGTGAGGTCGCCCTTGCTAAGGCACGGTCTCCTACATAAATAAAAAGCCAGACTACAATTAAACCATAGGCCAAAACCTGTTGCGTGCAGTTTCGTCTTCACTTTCTAGGGCCAACTTCATTTCTCGTTTTTAAATAATTCAGAATACATTAAATGATATTTCCCCTGTCCACATTTGCGCAATATGTACTTCAATGAGAAATTCAAAAAAGAAAATCGACACTTTACTCGTGTAATTTTGAGGGCGTCATTTTCAACCTTGAATCGTATCGTTGCTGGCACTGCGATCTACAGTATCGATAATTTGACCTGAATATATGGATGCAAAATGTCAGCGCCCGTGCGAACGTGCGTTTGTCATTTGATCGAGGCGGAAAAGGGGAAAATAACCACTTTGACACGGGTTACTTGGCAAAAGTTTCGTGACAGCAACAGTAAATGGAAACATCCTGATGGCAAACAGCGAGAACTGGCTGAAATAAAAAAATGAAATCTTGACTCAAATTCCTGAGCCTAGAAATGAATACAGTTATCACCGGAGCTGTTATAAAAGGTACTAGGCTTAACGTTAGCTATCCCGGCCGTTCTTTAAGTAAGGAATTTTTGGAAAGTGTGCGGGGAACACACTTTGTAGACAACAGACTAATGATGTCTAAAAATCTGAAGCTTAAATTTCTCTGAAGCAACCGCTCAAATTTGTCAGCGCTGTGGACTTTCAAGTTATAATTGTCGGTGATTTTTAAAGGTACTTCAAGGAATAGGCCTAACTTGTGATGAAGATGTTTCATATACCGATGTGAGTATTTTCCATGGAGGAGGGTCGATCTGAGGTCATCTGGCATCAACCAAAGTAGATGTAATGAGTAACATTTTTTCCAAGTACAAATCTCGGAATTTTGAAAATTTTCAAACTGTCAAGGTTTAAAGCTAGACCCCAAGTAAATTGCAAAATAAACCAGCAAATTTAAAAATTAGGTCACTAGGCAACCCACAGTGAAGAATGAAATTTCAGATGTTTGAAAAAACTTTATTTTAACAAAAGACAATGCTTTACAAAACACAATACAAACTCAATGACAATTAAGTTTCACTCAATTAAATAAAGGAAAATAAATATTGATATACCAAAATGGGTTCAGTAATATGAAAGGAATAAACAAATGTTAAGAAAAATAGCCACCAGTACACATTTAACAATAAATAAAAAGAAATTAAATTAATAAGCTTGACAAAAATGTACGGCGTGTAGCTTAATCGCAGTGTAAATCTATGCACTAAGAGCTTTAAAAGAGAAAATAAATAGTTAAAGCAAGAAAGGAAAATAAATAGATATCAAATCCACGCAAACAGCAACTAAATTACATATATTGAGCTAGCTGAAAATTATTGAAACTCCAACACATTAAAGTAAAAGCATGCAAAATTACCGGAGTTTGAGGCACAAATCTTCCAAGGAAGAATGAACCAAATAAATTGGGTTACATGATAATAACTTCAATACCAAACTCAACTAAAACAAATAATTAAGGTGTGATCAACGATTTTGATTATGGGAAAACACTAGCTCCAGTGCCTCCACTTGGAATCCATCCAACTTCAATATAAGCATAGAGGTTGTGTCTGCATCAGTGTCATATACATCAGGTTGTGTCTGTCCATACAAGGTATGTGTAGTCGGAGGTGTCACTGCTGCCCTTATTCCAGTAGCCTGTCCCCACTTCAACAACTTAGGCAAGTGCTTCTCAAACTATATTTAAGGGCATCTATTTGATTAAGTTGCCCGAAAGCCATCTGCAAAACCCAAGTTTGCAAACAATTGTAAAAAAAATAAACCTGTACTATTATTTCTTCAAATCCATCTAAATGACGCAGGGAAATCTGCAATACACATGTATATACTTACAGTCAGCAACAAGCGGCCAAAATAAACTCAAATTTGAATCCCACGCTATTTTGCCATCAAAAGGGTTGGGCTTGGGTGAGCTGAAATCTCGAACCAGCGCCAAGATAGTCATGTAATGGATTTTGGCTAGGGTAAGCTGAAATCGTAGGCTAGCACCAA